CTGCTTGGCTGGGGAGTGAGTGAGACAAGGGGCTGGATCAGCTGAGACTGGCAGATCCACTTCCAAAACGGCTTCTTCGCCAAACTGCTGGCACTTAGGTGGGAAGGCTGGAAGGGTGGGCTCAGCTGGGACTGGCACCTAAGCACCTACATGTGGCCTCTCCACTATGGTGGCCTCAGGGTAATAGACTTCTTACGATGTTCTTGCAGCAAAAGCTACATGCCTTTATGACCTAGCCTCAGAAATCTTATAATGGACATTCATTTCCCATTCTCTTTTGGTTGAAGTAGTCACAAGCCCACCCAGATTCAAGGGAAGGGGCTGTAGACCACACCTCTCCGTGGGAGGCATACCATGAAGGCCATGTTTTAAATCACCACACTGGCGTTATTTCCTGATTCTAGATGAGAGATGGTAATTCGGTGGAGATTAAATGATTTGCCAAGGGATAGTAACTGGGATAGTTAGTGGGGAAGGGGGCTTAGGGGAGGAGAATGACTTTTACCATAATTCTGACTCTAACTTCTTGCTCTTTCAATTCGTATATATTATATCAGCTAACACATACTTGCTAATATGTAAAAGTTCAAAGAAAAAATATCAACTGGTTTTGAGTATATTCAGTAACTTCCCTAAATAGAAACACAAATTTAAAAGACTAAGGTTTGCACTTATAAGCCCTTGCATAAAAACTTCATGTTTTAAGGAGGTCCAGGGATGAGTGCAGTCCTGAGATTGGTCAGATGCAACTTTGTATCATTTTTCTTACAAAGAAAGATCTATGAAGATGTCCCCGATACTTAACTGTGATTTCATTTGTTCTCTAGGAAAATCTCATCTGGCCATTGTCCAGCGGGTGAATAATGAGGGAGAAGGAGATCCTTTCTATGAGGTGATGGGCATTGTCACACTGGAGGATATCATAGAGGAGATCATCAAGTCAGAGATCCTGGATGAAACGGATCTCTACAGTAAGTGCACAGCCTTGGCTGTTCCCAGGGTCATCTTATTTCCCTCCAAGACTCTCAGGTAAGGCCTTGTTTGATTTATAGAAAGGGTATCATGGCAAACTCTGTGCCCTGATGTGTGTCAGCCACTTATGCCAGGTGCTGCTGTGGCAAGATACCCTAGCTGGAATCACTTCTGAGTCACTGGGAACATGCTAGCTAAGTGTTTATCAGGAGGGAGCCTTCAGGAACTGAGCCAAGACTATGAAAAGGAGACCTCCCAGCCTTTGGGTAGAAAAGAGACTACAGGAAACACAGTGTTCCCAGGATGGTGCCCAGAGGCCCCTCTGCCCTTGTTTCTGTCCCCTTTGTTCTTGTTTGGTTGCTTCATCCACCTAGATGCAAACCCCAACAGGGGTTCCACTCACACCAGAACAGCAGTGAGCAGTAGAGACAGTCATGAGATTGCCTACTCACAACCTAAGCCAAAAACGGAATATTCCTTCTTACCCACTTCCCTGTCCTCTTATGCCTTTCAGCCCACCACCCTGGGTTTCTGTTCTTTCCCTGCCACTAGAATCCCTGCTCTTGTCTCTGTTTCCTTCTTTCTGGTCTGCTCCCGGTCCTAACTCCCTCACTCAGGAACAATATAGGCTTTTCTATGCAGATGTGAATACTTTGGGTTACTGAACCTTATCAAACCTTTGCTTGCAAACACTACAAAGGCATGCTTTGTCTCTAGGATTGGAATGTTATCTAAGTCCATGGGAGTCCCTAGGCCAGGAATTGTTTCCTCCTCAGAATTTAATCTCATGGAATAGCCATCCTTTCCTTCCTTGCAGATAACTCATTTCAGACTTCGGTCCTTAGTTTGTGAGATGCGGCCTTTCAGAAACTGGCTCCTGGTAGAAAGAGCTTTGATGCCATAAGTCTTCCTCACGTGGAGATCGAGCTTGGAAATGTCCTCTCCCTCCCCAACCTCTGCCTGCCACTCTTGATTTAGAATTCTCAGGTGTAGCCTGGGCAACATGGTGAAACCCCATCTCTACAAAAAATATAACAGTTAGCCAGGTGTGGTGGTGTATGCCTGTAGTCCCAGCTACTTGGAAGACCAAGGTGGGAGGATCCCTTGAGCCTGGGAGGCCCTGGCTGCAGAGAGCTGAGATTGTACCACTGCATTCCAGCACGGGAGCCTGGGAGGACTGTCCCAAAAAAAAAATAAAAATCCCGGATGTCTCAGATAAACTAGTGAAGCCATTCACGCTAAGGTGTTAGGTGCTGATAATAGTCTAAATGAGTAAACTCCCAGGGCACTTGTTTGAACAACATTAAGGCTTCAAGCACACACTATTAAAATCTAAGGAATGAAGGGGCGAGCAGAGGAATGATTCCCTAATGATGCCATTTTAAGTAGCAATCTGATGGGGGAGAAGAGGACTATTTAGGCAAACTTATACAAATCAGACAGTTGCTCACTAGTGAGAGTGAGGCTGATAACCTGTGTTTGCTACTCTTTTGCTGAGTGATCCTCTTTCTACAGGAGCAGATTAGGGTAAATCAGCTGCTGGCATGATTCCTTAAGAGCTGTGAAAAGGCCCAGAAGCCAGGGATACTGTCTTTCTTCTTGCATGACCCTGACCTCAGGTGATCTGGACACCTGGGTCTAGGTCTGCCCACTATGACTTGAGCAAAAGGAGTGTCAAAGCAGGGGCCAGATGACTGCGAAGTCCCAGAGTCAGAGCGGGCCACGGAAGAGCTGCGCCGGCAGGAGGGCACTTTATCCCTTCTAGAAGGAAACCCAAAAGCAAGCCCGAAAAGGAGAGAGGGCACACCAAGGAGCCAGATTCAGGGGCCTTATTTTCCTGCCACAAGGGTTCATTCCCTTTCATTCTCACTGCAGCCACTCAGCTTGCACCAGATGTTCCCCCACGGCCCTGTTTCCCTTTAGGCCAAGTTTGGAGAAAACCCAAATCCCTTTCCCTGTTCCCCTTAATGCAGATAAGATGGGCTAGCAGTTTCAAAATTTTACTCAAAACTCAGGGAAAACGAAAGAGAAAGAACCAAAGGAAACATTTCCTGTACCAAAAAGAGAAAGCAAAAAAAAGGGGGGGGGGGAAGTAGATATATTTAGATAAGCTTTAAAAAGAATGAGAACAAATTAAATTGGAAAAAGCAAATTTTTTCAACCAATAATTACATGCCTGATATATAGGCTCTTGGGAGGTACCAGACCCTGCCTGAGGCCCCCCACCCAGAAAACCCACCTTTAGAGATTATAGGTCCAATCTTATTTCTTCTCCTCTCTTCTTCCCTATATTTCCCCTGATTCCCTCCCAGTGGAGGGACTGGGGTTGAAGCAGGGAAATTGTGAGATAAGAGGTAGTGGCTGCCCTCTTCCCTTGTGTGGCATGCTTCAGGTACCACTCAGAGCATGGTTCAGATAAGCAGCAGGAGACTAGTTGAGGCCAGTTCAGGGGAAAGGAGGGGGACAGAGTCAGAAATTCCCTGGGCCCCTGCAACCCTCTCAATACTAAGAATGCAGGTCCCTTGTGTGTGTATGACTTTGTGTAAAAGCATTCTCACACGTAGCTTCCAGTTGGAGTCTCATAATTAATTGCACAAGATGAGTATGAGAGCTATATTAAATATTACTAGCCTCCTTGTACAGATTAAAATAAAAACTCTGATGCTTAGAGAGGTTGCATGGTGAGTAAGTAGTGGAACCAGCCCCAGAACCCCAGACTTGGGTACCCCAAGCCAGCTTTCCCCTTTTTCTACTATACACCCGCTAAGTGTGGAAAACACTGAAATGATGGCAGTCTCCCATTGTCTATCCCTCACCAACATCCTTCTACTTCCTGGGTGATACTGTGATGTCACCCATAGTTGACACTGCAGAAATGTTCTATCTGTCCCCTGTGATTCTGGGAAAACCTCCAAAGACCAACAGTGATTCTGAGACAGCTGCAATCTGTCCTCTGTGACCCCGCAGCTGACAATCGGAAAAAGCAGAGGGTCCCACACCGGGAGCGGAAGCGGCATGACTTCTCCTTGTTTAAGCTTTCGGACACAGAGATGCGGGTGAAGATCTCACCACAGCTTCTGCTGGCCACACACCGCTTCATGGCCACAGGTAGGACAAGTCTCCACTCCGGAGAAGCTAAAACACAATCTCTAGGGTGGGACCCAGGCACCAATCCTTGTTAAAATCTTCCAGCCTGATTCCAGTATGCTGTCAGGACTGAGAAGCACTGTCCTAGGAAGGAGGTTGCCTTAGATAGGGTAATGGATGCCACCTACTGTCGTATTGAGCCCCAGGCCTGATCTTATAGAGGAAGAAATGAGTATAATTCAACTCTTCTACCAGAGAAAAGAGCTAAAGAAACCATTGCCACACTTTTCCCTTTTCTACTCACTTCCTGGCTGAAGCCTGAGGCCATCTCCCTGTCTGTTAGACTTACGGTGCCCTAGAGCAATGCCATAGAAGCTATGAATTGTTTAAATACAGAAGTGGATTGTGAATCTTGGGATCTTTAGAAAGAAAAAAAAAGTGAGAAAATCCAAAGATAAACTCCTTCTTGTGAAGAAGGTCAAGTTTGTCTTTGAACCCTCTGACCATCCATGCCTAATTATTGTACTGACCTAGAATGATCATGTCTATCATGAAGTTCAATATTTAATTAATCCAGCACGTATTTATTGAGTGTATAATGAGCGCTAGCACTGTTTTAGGTGCTAAAGAGTAGAAAATTTTCAGTTGGAGCTGCTTTAAGATAGAATTTCTAGTTCTGAATACAGATTTCTTTTAACTACTTCCCAGAGCATATGTAATATAAGTAATATAAGTTTAACATATGTAATATAAGTAATAGCTGTAATATATAAATATGATGCAAGGATGCCTCATATTATTGACAACTTATTATTTAAATAATTGCCTGTCTCTAGTAACGTGGGATTTCATTTCATTCAGCAGATATATGTCATACAAATAAGCCGGATTAAATTATCTGCATTTCATTCAATTATAGCATTAAAGTATTTGTTGTTTATGTGGCTTAGCTATCCATGTCCAATTTTAAATAAAATCAAAGAAAATTAGTAATGAAACAGACATTTCCAGATGGAGACCTGTTTCTCCTGAGGTGCCAGTGCAGGGACACACATCTGCAGAGGACATGGGTAAGGCCCTGAGATGCACACTTGGGATTAGGATTCTCCACTCCAAAGGAACTGCAGAAGCCCTGCCAGCCTGGTGCCCTGGTACATGCATAGGGGGCCCTCATTGTGCCCACTCTGACTCCTCCCAGCTGCCACTGCTGGAATGGGTGGGACACAGCTGATGCTGATTCCTCCCTACCCCCTACTTGCCTCTAGAAGTGGAGCCCTTTAAGTCTCTGTACCTTTCGGAGAAGATCCTGCTCCGGCTCCTGAAACATCCCAACGTGATCCAGGAGCTGAAGTTTGATGAGAAGAACAAGAAGGCCCCGGAACACTACCTCTACCAGCGCAACCGCCCTGTGGACTACTTTGTGCTGCTTCTACAGGTGAGTAAGAAAGTCAGGGAACCTCTAAGGGCCAGATGAGGGCATCTCCAGGGTGAAGAAATGGCCATGCCTCCTTCAGCACCAAGTTCCGGGACTTAGCTGGCTGCCTCAGGAACAAGGCCAGCTGGGTGGACATTTCTTCATGACCCACAGGAGGGGGCTAGACACAGAAGACTGGTGTCCTGGGAGTGCTGGGATCTTTCACATTTAGTCTGACAACTCAGCAATGTTTGGGGTGGGGTGAATACCTCTCCAATAGGGGTTTTGCTTCTAAACTTCCAGAACTGCTGCTCTGCAGAAACTATAATACCTCCTCATCTCTGCTTGAACATCCCCTGAAATGAAACTGCCCACTGCCTGCTGAATTTTAGACAACTCTTCTTTAAACCCTTCTCTCTGTTGAGTGGAAATCTCACCATCTCTGACTTCCTTACTGGTCCCTGCTCTGCTCTCTGGAGGTGCACAGGACACATTCATTCTCTCAGCTGCATTTCAGCCTTTGTAGTTCCTGGAATCTTCTCCCCCTTAAGAGGACCAGGAAGGGGAAAAATGACCTGTTCAAAGAAGTGCAACATCTCCCCAGTGCTCACATAAGTATGATCACCTTCTGCTCTGGATACCTGAATAGGCCTGTCTTAAATAAGTGTCTGACATGATTACAGCTTGTAACACTGCTGGTGCCCTGTCTGGCTTCACCATTAGCTCTGTCACTGATTCCCTGTCCCTTCCCAACATAACCTTGTGAATCCTAAATATGCTGATTGTGTTTTAGAATCTTAATTAAGCTCACATGAACTTAGAAATGGTCTCCTTGTTACAGTCCACTTCCAACCTCTCTGCTCTGTCACTGTAATTTGCCTCACATATATCCTTCCAAATGATCTGAACAAAATGACCTCTCTTCTCCAAAAAATGGAGTCATGTGCTTCACTGTTGGAAATCAACAGAAATCCTGTTACATTGTTTGTATAATGTAATGAGCACATAGTTTCATGTCTTATACTGAATATAAACTTAACAGTTTTCAAATAAAACATGGAATAAAATGTAGTAGCAAGAGTGTAGGCTCAGAAATTTGAAAACTATGGCTTTAAAATTCCATTGTTGCCATCTCCCAACTAACCTTGACCAAGTTATTCAATCTCTGAGCCTCAAAATTGAGTCCCCAGTAAATCGGGGATAAAAATGGCATAGGCTTCATGGGGTTGTGGGGCTAATTGCATGAGAATCTATGCAGTGCACATAACACAGTGTCATGTCCATGCATGCTATGCATTACACGTCAGCTATCACTATTATTGGCAATTAATTAAACAAGCTTCACACAGAATTAGGTTTTATCTTTTTTTTTTTTTTTTTTTTTTTTTTTGAGATGGAGTCTTGCTCTGTCTCCCAGGCTGGAGTTCAGTGGCCCGATCTCAGCTCACTGCAAGCTCTGCTGGTTCAAGCAGTTCTCCTGCCTCAGCCTCCCAAGCAGCTAGGACTACAGGCGTGCACCACCACACCCAGCTAATTTTTATATATTTAGTAGAGATGGGGTTTCACCATATTGGCCAGGCTGGTCTCGAACTCCTGACCTTGTGATCCACCCGCCTTGGCCTCCCAAAGTGCTGAGATTAAGGCGTGAGCCACCACACCCGGCCTAGATTTTATCTTGACCTGACTTAGAAATGGTCCAGTCTTGGACTAAACCAGTGGGGCAGTTTATGAGGCCCTGGGTTAGCTAGTACTTAGGCCTGCATCATGGAAGGGCCATTACAGTACACAACGACAGCTTGGTTATTCATGACTGGCTGCTGTTTTATGAACAACGAAGCACTGAATTTACTGCAAAGAGCTACTTAAGTTGGAAGTGCTTTCTCAAATTTAAATCTGGAGAGAATTAACATTCCTCTGTGATAAGAACACAGGTCTAGTCCACTTGTTATCCAAACAGAAATGCTTAGGGTTCTAGTCAATAGTAGAACTGGAAGTGCTCATATACATTCATAGTACACTTCCTTTTTTTTTTTTTTCCCAGGGTAAAGTGGAGGTGGAGGTTGGTAAGGAAGGCCTTCGCTTTGAGAATGGAGCCTTTACTTACTATGGCGTCCCAGCCATCATGACCACTGCTTGCTCAGGTATTCTAGTTTCCGTTTGTTTATTGGGAAAGTAATGGGATATGGTAGAAAAAGCAGAGGGGTTCAAGTCTTGACTCCTCCTTTGACTCCTGTTAATCACCCTGGACAAGCCATTTAACTTCCTTGGCTTTAGTTCCTTCCTCTGCAAAATGTGTGTATGAATCACTTTTCATTCAGTTAGTGCTTAAAGAAAGGAGACAAAAATTGAATTGTAAAAAGCAGTAATATTGTCAAGTGTTAGGGATCTAGGGTGGTAGGTTTCACTGTGAAAAGACGAGTTTATTTTGCTTTTTATACTGGTTCCCTACCCTTCCATTTAATTGCCTGGTTTTTACAGGGTTAATTGGTGCTGGGGGTGGATAGAAGAGGGAAGATTCCCATAAGAAGTGTGTTTTCTGAGTTGCCTCTGAAACCCACTGCATCCTTCTGTCCTTAGATAATGACGTGCGGAAGGTTGGAAGTCTGGCTGGATCTTCTGTCTTTCGTATGTATCTCTCAAACCCCTTCCTCGTCCTCCCCATCGTAGTCCTGCCTCAGCCCGCTCTGGGGACCTGGACCTGGGCTGGGGCTAAGACAAATGCTGGCAGCCTCTTTGTAATGTTCTGCCAGGAGCACTGCTTCCTGCCAGGTACCCACAGACCATGGGAGCTTAGGTTCTTGTGTTTGGAATGTATTCTGCGGCTTCTCTGCTCACATGGCTGGGGGGAAGCAGGGGTTGGGAGGGGAGGCACTGCTTATTGCCACCTTCCAGGAAATGCAGGCAGGTGATTTGTGTGCTTGGGCAGAGGTTCAGCCCTTCTTTCTGTGCAGTAACAATTCACTCATGGCCTTTACTCAGAAACTCTCATATGCTATTATTGTGTCTGTGGGGTTTGTCCGCAGTAAGAAGTGACTGCAAGATTTGGGGATGTAAGTTCCACCCTTGTGCAATACGCTGCTTATCTGCTTCTCTTTCCTGCTTCTCCACCTCTCAGCTAGTGGAGAGGTATCTGCCAGCTGGCCATGCATGCTGTTGGTGGGGGGCAGGCACAGGGCTGATGGCTGGTTTGCTCTGCCTCTTCTGTGCTGTGCCTTCTTGCTGTTTCCTGTGTAGTTATTGCACTTGTGTTTAAAGGGCATGGCATTTCTTCTGATTAAAAGTGTGATCCAGAAAGAATTATTTCTCTACCTTTCTTTCTGATTCACGGGTCTGAATTTTGCTTTCAGCTGTTAGTGTTTACAGTGGCCACTTCAATGCCAAATAGGGTCTTTCCTCGCATCACAAAAAAGATTTTACGTATTCCCTTGTGGTGGGAATTGTCAGAGAGTCCCAGAGCTTGATATCATAGTCCCTGGAACATGACAAGGTAGATACCATTTTAACATGAGTGAAACTAAGGAAATGACTTGCTTCAAATCACCCAGTAAGTTGGTGACCGGCCAAGATGCTTCCTGGTGTCCTGGCTAGTTCACACAGCACAGGAAAATACAGGTTTCAGATCCATCATATTCTGGAATGCAATTTCTAAGTGAAAATAGTGGAACAATTTACAGTGTAATTGTTACAGTGTAATAGCCCAGCCAGTGGCTGAAATGAAGTACCTGTCCAGTCTGAAGAGTGGCAGAACTTTAGTTGGAGGAGATCTGTAAAGTTGAAAAGACCCTGGTACATTATTATACTTAAGACAACGAATCTCAATCAAGGTTGATGAAGGAAGCATCGGTGCTCAGTAGAACTCTCGATGGGCAAGGGACGGGTTACAGGACGTTGGCAAACCTTAGTTCTCTAAAGGAAATTTCCATCCTCCATCACATTAGGGACTACTCCTAGGATTCTAATATGTTACCTAGAAATGTCTGTGATCTCTTCCAGAAGACTGAAAGAGGTGGAAATTCTGAGAAAAAAAGGCCTACATATGGCTTCCTAGCCCAATGCTGTGGCCAGGCATGGTGGCTCTCACCTGTAATCCCAGCAGTTTGGGAGGCCAAGGCGGGTGGATCACGAGGTCAGGAGTTCGAGACCATCCTGGCCAACACGGTGAAACCCCATCTCTACTAAAAATACAAAAATTAGCCAGGCATGGTGGTGCATGCCTTTGATCCCAGGTACTTGGGAGGCTGAGGCAGGTGAATCGCTTGAACTGGGGAGGTGGAGATTGCAGTGAGCCAAGATCATGCCACCTTACTCCAGCCTGGCTACAGAGCAAGATTCCATCTCAAAAAAAAAAAAAAAAATTGTTTTAAGTAGAAGGAATATGTTATCCGATTTCTTCCTTTCCTTCCTTCCTGTCTCTAGTTCTTTCTTTCAAAAGCTTTCAATGGCATCAGCGAGATAGAAATAAAGTTGCAACATTGATTTCTCCTTTAAAACTAGTTAACTGAAAAGAAGCATAACGCTCTTTCTGTTTCTCTCCCCATGTTACTGAGCATCTCTGTAAATCTTCAGAAGGAAAAAGAAATATTATTAGCCAATAGGGGTAAAAAGACATTTTCCGTCCTCCCAGAATCCATATTTAGTGTAGTGAAGTGTGAAGTAACTGCAAAGGCCAGCCATACCCCAGTTACCCCAGGTGAAGGCTCAGCCCATGGTCCAGCCACCCAGCATCTTTCATTGGCCAAGAACCTCAACCCTATAGGTTGAGGGAGAGCTTAAGTCTAAGCCAAAAGGCGATAAAATCTTACAGGGTCTTGGCCCAGCCCCCTCCCCCTATGCTTGAAGCTAGCTTGATCAGCCTTTGAGGATGAGGAGTGAGATTATGAGTTTGCTGGAATACTGGCACGATGACCTATGCTTCAAAGTTGAACTTGAGGCTACAAAGAAGTCTCTGGCTTTCCTGTATGAGGCGAAGGGAACATAATCTACACTGTCTTCTTCTTGGTTCTGATTGCCAGGAACCCAGGGTAGCTGGAATAGGTGCACACACAGGTATGCACATGTGGAAAGAACAGGTCTCCTTTCTGTTTGGTGTATACATTTATACATCGTATAATACATTGTATACAGTGTTTACAGCTTGGTGTATACAATGTATACAATTTGGTGTATACATTTCTACATTTAGAACTATGATTCTTCTTGAGAATAGAGGGTTTCTTAACTCCATTGTGTCTCATAATATTGGAGGCCCATTCTAATATTCGTTAACATCTCATGTCAGAGTAAAGGATTATCAGGTAGGTCATTTCAAATAAAATCATTTGGTTTAGCAAATAAAACTGCAGAAGCTGTCTATTTCCGTATGCTATCATCTGCAGACTGGTTTCATTTAGCTCCTTAAAAAGGACTCTGGGAATGATCAGATAAGAGAGATGAAGACAGGTTCCCATGGGTCCCGTGCCCAGACACCACTTGAAGGGGAGGGACTGGACTGTTACTACACACTCAACTCTACCCAGGCCCCCAAGTGATAGCCAGCACCATTTCCAACTCTGTGGGGAAAGAGAAGGAAAAGGGAACAGAGAGATGCTTTGGACCACTGGTACTTACCACAAAGTGGCTATGATTTAATTCAAGTTGATTCACATTAACACTGCTAGAGATATTGTTCTTCCTTTATCCCTATCCTCTAGCAATGCACAGTTCTTCACCAACACTGTAACCAGAGGGAGCTCCTAGGAGTCAGAGGCAGGATCTAGCTTCCTCAAGGATGCCCCTAGCAGGAGCACACACTTTCCATTCAGGCCTCTGAGTACCCATGCAGGTGCCCTTGGCAGTTGAGCTCCGTGGGAGCTGGGAGAGCTTGGTGGGAATGCAGCGCTGGGCTCCCAGCATGTTTGCTGGCTCAAAATGGGAGCCTCAGAGAATGCTGCCTATATGCTTCCCACAGGGCTCGGCTTGTGCTTCTGCCTCTGATTCCAAGATGTGTTGCACATCTTTTCAGATGACTTTCAGCAAAATCCATTTTATTTTCTTGTCTTTCTGGAGAGTGACTTTGTAAGAGTATGTGATTTCTGTGTTTTCAGAGTCAAGATTCCTTTTTGCAGAGAAGTGTGATGTTGTGAAGATCCAGGAACAGACTGTCTCACCCACTTTGTTCTTTGTCTCTTTCCTTTTGTGTTTATATCTTCCCTTTTGCAACTCACATCCTTGGCCCCTGACTCTTTAGTGCCCGTCTCTGTGTCTCGTACCTTCGCTGTCAGCAGAGGGGACTCTCTGGCAGGCTCCCCAGGTAAACATGCATGGGTGTCTTGGGTCTCCGTAGATCCAGAGGGGTTTGCAAGAAGCCTTTGGCCTCTGTCACTTTCCTGCCTGAGAACTAATCTCTCCAACAGGCACTCTTGTGACTAAGGCATAGCACTTTGCACAAACAGCACTCATTTGCACATACCACCCAGGCATTGCTGGTTCAGTGCTGTCATTTGTGAGCTTACCTCCCAGGAATGTATCTATGTACGCACATGGAAAAATGGTGGGAGTGAGGGATAGTGTGAGTTTTTCCTCATTTGTTTGACTACAGAATGGAGGGATGAGGAGGACAGCATGAATGAAATGGGAATAGTGGAATACTATGCTTTATTTCTACCTATTTTCTTTCTACCTTTCTTTCCTTCCATGTCCTAATCTTCCTAATAATGTTACTGTGTGATCATCATATTCTCACTAGCTCTGCTCATACAAAGGATGCTATATGTAAAACTTTCAAAACAACTTTTCATTAGGTTTAACCTCTTTTGTTAATAAGTGAAATAGTCACTGGGTTTCTTTTTAATCGGTAACAATTCCTCATAGAGCTAGATAATAATTGAATGACTGAGTAGAATGCAACAAATCTGAATGATCAACTGTTTGTTTTCATCTCTAGAGGTTGTTCTCTTGGGCTCATAGAGCAAGTAATGACTAAACCAGGAATGTATTTGTTAAATTGCCCTGCAGTTAGCACACAGTTCCATTTCCTCTACCCTCTAAATCTGTATCCCTTATCCCATTGCTGGGGTAATGCTACTAAGACCCCACCACATCCTCAGTCATCGAGAAATTGCTTATGTTTCTCTGTCTGTATAGTAGATCCTCGACATTTAAAAAAGGCTATGTTCTCCAATTTGCAACCTCAGTAGTATTTGTGTTGACTTCTGTTTTTTCCCAAAATCAAATTTTTTCATCAAAAACCATCTGGTCCTCATGTTGATCTATACAAGATAAGTTAACCACCTTCTCAAATTTCACTGACATTTTCTCTCTCTCTCTTTCGATGGTGATTTTCCATTAAGAAATAGTTTTTCTTGCCTTGTGAGAGCTCATGCCTTAATGATGACTACAGGATTGGACAGTCAATGTGAGATACCAATCTGGTGCCCTCGCCAGCTAAATGATCTACTCCTACATGCCAGCAAAATTAGAAATGACCACATGATGGACCTTCAAGTTCCTTCACATGCAGTGAATCTTGGTGATGCCAACAGTGTGCTGTGAAGGTTCAGAGGAAAGGGGAGATGCACATTTTAAAAGACTTTCAGCCCAAAAGATCAAAGCGAGGATGCGTTTTCCTTTTTAATTAACCTTCAGATAACCAGATGACCTAGTTAATTGTAACTTCCCAGTTAAAGGAAGGTTAATTCTAGTTCATCTGTATTGATTATGATAAAGTTCATGATAACCCAATGTCAGAGATGAAAGTGATACCTTCCTGCTGTGCAGAACCTCCAGGAAGTGCTGAGACTTCTGATCCAACTCTGGGTGCTGTCACGTGCCCCTGAGAATATTTTCAACTTTCCCCCCTTTTCCATGACTGTGGGTATTCAACACAACAAGAGATTAGTGTCAACACAATGCAAACCCTACTCATAAAGAGGTAAGCTTATTCCCATCCTTGGTTTAACTGTGCAGGGTGGAGCAATGGTCAGTACAGTGGGAGAAAACCAGAGGTAGGGAGTGCCTAGCTTCTCCTTTGGCTTATTCCTCTCCACCTTATGTCTGGTCTCTATCTAGAGCTAATCACTGTGCCTTCCCAGTGATCAGGTGACATCCACAGGACCTATTCTGTGATATTTCCTCTGTCATTCTTGCTTTTGTTCCATATCATTAAAAGAAGTAGCCTCAGAGGTCTGGGATTTTGTAAAAAGAAGTTCCAGGTAACTTCTGGCCCTGTAAGCACAGAGACTTTGGAACCAGGGGTTCTTATTCAGTGCTCGACTGTCCATTCATAATGTGCATAGAGATCAACAATGATGCCATTTTCT